GAAACTGGGACTCAAATCAATGATTGGGAGCAGAAGGAAGAAATAAACATCCAACCAGAACAGAATGAGGAAACAAGAATTCAAAAAAATGAGGAGAGGTTTAGGAACCTCCGGGATAATGTTAAATTGTCTCAACATCCAAATCATAGGGATGCCAGAAGGAAAAAAGGAAGAGCAAGAAATGGAAAACTTACTTGAACAAATAGTGAAGGAAAACTTCCCTATTCTGGTGAAGGAACTAGACATGCAAACCCAGGATGCACGGAGAGTCCCAAAGAAGTTGGATCCAAGAAAAAACACACCAAGACATATCATAATTAAATCACCCAAGATTAAAGATAAGGAGAGAATCTTAAAAGCAGCAAGTAGAAAGGAAAGAGTTACCTATGAAGGAGTTCCCATAAGACTATCAGCTGATTTCCTTTATTATTATTATTTTTATTCATAAATCATGTTAATTCTATTACAGTTGTCTCAGTTTTCCCCCCTCCACCCATCCCACCCCCATCCCCCGCTCCCACAGTCAATTCCCACTCTGTTGTCCATGTCCATGGGTCATTCATAAAGGTTCTTTGTCTAGTCCCTTCCCCATCTTTCCACCATAGTCCTCTCTCTGCTTCCCCTCTGGTCACTTTCAGCCTGCTCCATGTTTCCATTTCTGTGGTTTATTTTGTTTCTTAGTTTATTTTGTTGACTAGAGTCCACTTAGAGGGAAGATCATATGGTAATTGTCTTTCATCAACTGGCTTATTTCACTTAACTTAATATTCTCCGCTTGCATCCATGTTGTTGCAAAAAGTAGGAGTTCCATTTCTCTCTTTCTTTCTTAAATGTAGATTAATTTCATTTATTTTTTTAAATGTCAAAGTTAATTATAAAATATTTTAAGGAATTTAAAACTGTTATAAAGTCTCAGCAATTAAACCAACATGACACCAGCACAGAAATAATCAAGTAGATCAATGAAATACAATGACCATTCTGGAGACAAATGTATATATCTGATTAATATATGTATGATTAAGTTGATACTTCAAATCAATGGGGAAAATAAGGCTTATTCCACAAATAAGGTGCATGGACCACAATTACTTGAAATAAAACAAATATCGAGCCCTATTTCACACATTATACAAGAAATATTCAGGTGAGTTAAAAATCAATATGTAGAATCAAAAGAGTTTTAGAAGAAAATGGAACTAATATTTTTCATGACCTGAAGTAAAATATTCAAACCCAGAAGCTATAAAGTAAATATTGACAATATGATTACATTAAACATTTAACTATATAGTAATACGCACATAAAAAAGTTAAAGGACAAGGAATAGAAAAGTATTTGCAACACATCTAAAACATGGTTAATAGGTTTTTTGTTTCATGGTGTTTTTTGTTTTTTTTTTAGGGAAAAAAAGTTCTACAAACCTTTAATCAATAAATGGATAAAGAATACCAAAAAGTCACTTAAAGCTTTAAAAAAATAGAAATAGGTTAGAAATATACCACACCAGTTTAGTTTCAACAAATAGTAAAGGAACAATTAAAATAACATCATTGTCACAATCAGATTAATGAGTATTAAAAATATTGGTAATATCAAGTATTGGCAACTCTGAAAGGTACTGGGTATTCATGGAAACTTTTTCTTCATCTTAAAGCAGTTCCTTTAGCATATTTTGCAGTGCTAGTTTGGTGGAGGTGTATTCTTTTAGTCTTCTTTTGTCTGGGAAACTCCTTATTTCACCTTCCATTTTAATGGAGAGCTTTGCTGGGTAGAGCAGTCTTGGTTGCAGGCCTTTGCTTTTCATGACGTGGAATATTTCTTGCCATTCCCTTCTGGCTTGCAGTGTTTCTGTTGAGAAGTCAGCTGCTAGCCATACAGGGGCTCCCTTATATGTTGCTACCTGTTTCTCCCTTGCTTGCTTTAGGATTCTCTGTTTGTCTTTGCTATTTGCCATTTTAATGATGATGTGTCTTGGAGTGGGCCTCATTGGGTTCCACTTGAATGGGACCCTCTGTGTTTTCTGGACTTGTGTGACTTTCTCTCTCCTCCAATTAGGGAAGTTTTCCATCATGACTTTTTCAAACAGGTTCTCTATCCCTTGCTCTTCTTCTCCTTCTGGTATCCCTATTATAGGGATATTATTATGTTTCAGGTTGTCCTGCATTTCCCTAAATGCCTCTTCATTGTTTTTGAGTCTTTTTTCATTTTCTTGTTCTTTCTGGGAGCTTTTTTCTACCTTATCCTCCAGCTCACTGATTTGATCCTCTGCTTCATCTGGCCTGCTTTTGATTCCTTCTACTGTGTTCTTCAATTCAGAAATTGTATTCTTCATTACCTCTTGTGTCTTATTGATAGTTTCTATGTCCTTTTTCATGATGATATTGTTTGCAGTAAGTTCCTCATAGTTTCCCTGTAGTTTTTGGTAATTCTCTCTGAGCTCACTGAGCTCATTGAGCTTCCTTAGAACCATTGTTTGGAACTCAGTATCTGATAGTTTACTTTATTCATTTAGTTCTCTTTCTGGGGATTCCTTTTTTCCCTTTGAGTGGGGTGTATTCCTTTGTCTTCCCATTATTTGTGAGACTCTTCTCTTTTGCTTCTGCTTCTTAAGTTGATCTGTCTTGATTTCCTGGCTTTGTTGTGTGAACTTCTATGATAGGAGACCACTGTTTTTCTTTCTGTATCTGACTCTGATGATGTCAGATGTTGACCCTGTCTGACCTTAGGCAGTCTGTTCGAGACTTCCAGGAATCTGCTGTCTGTGGCTGTCTCCTTCAGCTGTTAATCTATTCACTCTGCACTCAGCAGGGTTCCTTAGACAGTTCCGGGAGGGGTGGAGTCACTCCTGGGGGCAGGGGTAATGGGTCCTTTCAAGCTGCTGCCCTATGGGAGAGGAGTCCGCACTGGGATCCCGCCGGCTACTCTCTCAACTCTCTCCCCAAAGCCTCCATCCTCAGTCTCTCCTCAAGTGTCGCCAGACCTCTCTGCACCCCCTTTAGCCAGGGATCTACTGTCTGTGGCTGCCACTCTGCACTCAGCAGGCAGCATAGACAGCACAGGGCGGGGTGATATCCCACCTGGGGGCGGGGCTATTGGAGCCTCTGACAGTGCTGCCGCTCAGGGGGAGTGGTCTCTGCCTGAGAAGATGGCTGCTGCCACATGGGGAATGAGTCAGCACTGAGATCCTGCCAGCTACTCTCTCTGTTCTCTCTCCAAAGCCTCCTTCCCCAGTCTCGTCATGTGTCTTTAGTCCACTCTGCCCCGGCCTTTGCTGGAGACCAGAGTAAGAGGCTGTAAATAAAAATTTTGCATTGGCCCTATAGAAGGCTCTTTGTGTCTCCAGCCGCCTGTCTCTGGTAGAGAGAAACCCTGCAACTTTTCGCAGCTAGCTGTTTTCTGTGTACTTTCTGGGCTCTGGTGTTGTGGGCTAGAGATCTCTGCTTTTGGTTTAGACCCTACTCTTCTCAGGGGGATCCAATTGGTCAATTCAATATCCTTCTGGTGCTGCTGCCGATGGGCACCCCACCCACCTTCTCAGGTCTGTACTGCACTCCTTACCAGTTAGATTGCGCTAAAGCTGATTATTCTTTCTCTGAGATTACAAGGCTCCTCTCTCGCTATTGTTCAGTTTTTTGTTCCAGGTGATTTCTCCACAATTTAGTTGTAATTCCAGGTTGGTCCTGGGAGGAGGTCAGTGTGACTTCCACTCATTCCTCTGCCATCTTGATTCCTCCCTCAGCTGATTTCTTAAAAGAAACCTTAGAGGCAAGAAGGGGCTGGACAGAAGTATCCAAAGTCATGAAAGGCAAGGACCTGCATCCAAGATTACTCTGTCCAGCAAAGCTGTCATGTAGAATGGAAGGGCAGATAAAGTGCTTCCCAGATAAGGTAAAGTTAAAGGAGTTCATCATCACCAAGCCATTATTATGTGAAATGTTAAAGGGACTTATCTAAGAAAAAGAAGATCAAAATTATGAACAGTAAAATGATAACAAATGCAGAACTTTCAACAACTGAACCTAAAAAACAAAAACTAAGCAAACAACTAGAACAGGAACAGAATCATAGAAATGGAGATCACATGGAGGGTCATCAGTGTGGAGGGGGAAGGGGAGAATGCGGGAAAAAGGTACAGGGAATAAGAAGCATAAATGGTAAGCACAAAATAGACAGGGGGAGGTTAAGAATAGTATAGAAAATGGAGAAGCCAAAGAACCTATATGTACAGCCCATGGACATGAACTAAAGAGGGGAGGGGGAATGCTGAAGGGAGGGAAGTACAGGGTGGAAGGGGATTAAGAGCAGAAAAGAAATGGGACAACTGCAATAGCATAATCAATAAAATATACTTAAAAAACATCAAAATTGGTGAATTTTTGTGTAGCCATTTTAATTTTGAAGATGGAAGAAAATATGCAACATTTTCAGCATATTATGCTTTATTATTTCAAGGAAGGTAAAAATGCAACTGAAACACAAAATAGGATTTGTGCAGCATATGGAGAAGGTTCTGTGAATGATTCAATGTGTCAAAAGTGGTTTGCAAAGTTTTGTGCTGGAGATTTCTCTTTGGACAATGATGCTCCATGATTGGGTAGACCACTTGAAGTGGATAGCAATCAAATTGAGACATTAATTAAGAACAATCAATGTTATACCATGAAGGAGATAGCTGACATGCTCAAAATATCCAAGTCAATAAAGTTATTGGTGAAAATGAAAAATGTGTCTTTTATTTTACAGAAAAAACCATACGGACTTTTTGGCCAACCTAATACATGTGTTCCCTCACTATTTCACTGTCGTGTGTTCCCTTACTAAAATGTGGCACCTTCACAATTTTCAAAATAATGCAATGTTTAAAAAAAGTTTCATGGATTCAGATTTTAAAGTTTTTGTACAAAGAATAAACATGTAATTATATGTTATCTTATTTAATTTGTATATAGTTAAACAATTTGCCTTCCAGAAGACACTACTAAAAGCAGAAACTTACCTTCCCATTCTGTTGGGATATTCCCTACTTCATAGTCTATTTCTCTTTTACTTGCTGCTTCTACAATTCTTTTCTCTCGAATAGTCTGTCCTATAAGACAAAAGTGATTATTACGTTTTTAAATGAACTCATGACACAGTAGTTACAAGTAATGTTTTCTCTTTACATATTGTACACCTTCTCATATGGTAAAAGAATTAACAGGAAAAATAACAGATTCCATTTAGAATTAGGCAATTTCTATAGGACTGCTAAAAAATTTAATTTCCTACCTTAATTTTAGTGATATAAATCTGGATTCTATGTACAGAAAAATAACAGCCAATTATTCTTTAGGGCACAAATGGCTGATTAAAAGAACATTTTACTTAATCAACAGTGTTCCACTCCCTCAAACTCTACAAGTATATATACATACAATGATCATACATATACATATGTATGTATATATACTTGTAGAGTTTGAGGGAGTGGAACACTGTTGATGTATATATATATTAGACTTGTTACTGTTCAAGGGAATTGATATTTATGGCCACTACTAAGTTTGTAATCAACCACAAGGCTCTGCTGTCACCCTGTCCCCATCGTACATTGGCAAACTAAGAGAACAGAGATATGGGTTGAATTCTGTGGCCCATCTGAGTAACTCTCTCTCAAGAGAACCTAAATAAAGAGGGACAAAAACAGGTGAGTTTTGGATATGGTGCTTCAGGTGAGATCAACATCTAGAACAGGATGGTGGCAATGTAGAAAACATAAAAGCAGAGACAACAATAAAGAGAAAAGTGGAGAGGGGTCAGGGTGGGATGAGAATGACTGTTGCTTGTATTTTTCAATAATAAAAAGTTGATTAGTGTTTAAGTTCATAGGGAAGGCACAAAACTAGTATTTTCTTCTGTTTTCAAAAAGTCTTGATTATATCCTTCAAAGTAGGTTTGTCAAACTTGTGTTTTCAAAACATTCCTTTTTCATTAAACCTTTGAGCCTGGGGATACCAGGTAAACTTTCTACTTCCCAAGTTAATAGTTGTGCCTGTCTACTCTAGGCCATGCAAACTGAAACAGAAGACATTGGTGAGGAATGATGAGGGGAAGAGAATGGCTTAACAATGATCAGACCAGTCAAGGAGAAAAGTCTACAAAATACTGCTTTCTCTTCCCACTCCTAGGTCAAACTTATGCTATACGAAATCGACTGGGTGACATGATTAAAGAAATTGATCTTGTTGCCTGAAAATCTAAATCTCTCTCTTACACTACCTAAAATTTTACTAACTAAAACTTCTTTCAGTTGCAGACAAGGAAGGCACTCAAGGGTACCCTAAGAATGTTGAGTGACTAGTTTTATTTTCTCAGCTTAAAAGTAGTATTAAGTGAAAGGCTGGGATTTCATAGACAAGATGCTAATGGCTAAGAACTCTGAAGTGTGGGATCAGGAAATCTCTGCATTTCATTATGGACTTATTTAAGCAGGCTAATACAATCCTAACACAGAGGTTCCCAAAGTTTTATAAAAAAGTGTTACCTTTTGCTTATCTTATCCAGTAAATTTATAGTAGGGCTAGGGATTAGTAGTAAAGTCTCTATGTTGTAGGGACAAATGTCAGTGTAAAAGGAGCCTATAGCAATGACAGCAGCATAACTCTCAGAGCAGAGGTTCAGTATACTTACATATATTTTTACTAAAATGCTATTCATATACACATACATAAACATGTTGTAATAACAAGAGTTAGCATAAGTTTAACATATATTAAAGTATGTTTACATGATAATTTTCAATTTTGAAAGAGTCAAAATACCTGTTTCTTCATATAGTCCTTATCTAAATGCCAGGATGTATGTCATTTTAGCAATAGCAAGTACAGAAAAAAAAAAACATTGTATAAAACACACAAATTGCTAACAAATGGGTTTCTCAAAGTACATTTGTGTTCTATAAGCTTTTTAATGTATGTCAATAAAGTTTAGCATACGGGGAGAGGATAAAGGGGTCTACCATTCCCAGTAGACCCAGCCATCGTTAATATAATGAGAATGGTTTGCATGACATTGTTGTAACCTGGCAGCTAAGGAGAATGGGCTGAAATGTGCATGCACAAACAATGATGACTTCACTGTACTAGTCAGTGGGGGCATTAGAGGATGAGTGACCATGTGTACTGCGTGGCTGTTGCATTCAAAATGACTAAGCAAGTAGAGCAACAAATCTGCACCAAATTTTGCATTAAGCTTGAACATTTCTCTGCAAAAACTATTTGGATGACTCAGAAGGTGGCAGCTATGGGCAACTGGTGATTGGCAGCTTCAACACAACAATGTGCCCACTCATGCATCACATTTCATGCAGAGTTTTTTGGAGAAACATCAAATCACCCAGGTGACTCAGCCCCTCTACAGCCCCTTTGCAACTTCTGGCTTTTCCCAAAACTGAAATTCACTTTTGAAAGGGAAGATATTTCAGATTGTTGATGAGTTTCAGGGAAATATGATGGGACAGCTGATGGTGATTCCAACAAAGGAGTTTGCAGAGTGTTTTGAACAGAGCAAGAGGTACTAGGAAAACTGTGTGAGATCCCAAGGTACCTACTTTGGAGGGGACTAAAGTCCCATTGTCTTATGTACAATGTTTCTTGTATCTTGTATTTCAATAAATGTCTTGATTTTTCATTACATGGCTGGATACTTTCTGGACATACAGATATCAATATGATTGTGACACAAAAATTAACTTTTCTTTCCTACCTTCAGGTCTATATACTTCATTTAAAGTCTCCTAAGATTTTTAAAAATAAAGTCATACATATTTGTGTGTATGTGAAAAGACAAGCAGAGTAATTCATGAGTTTGTTTAATCAATTCCTTGATAATCACTAAAAAAAACCTTTGTTTACAAATAGATGACATCAAAGGTGTATAAAAAACAATGTACACATCTTTAGAAATATAAAATGAAGCAATTAGTTTATAAAATAAACTCTTTATAATCAGATATGAGATTTTCCAAAAAACCCAAATTGTTTTAAAACTACTCTATTCTTTGGAATAAATCCTACTTGCACAATTTTTATGAATTGGGAATGAAATTTATGCCTCCTACAGAATAAGTAATTACGCACAAACTGTACACGTACTCATACTAACAACTGTAAGGACAATTCTACTTATCGCAGCAAAAAAAATTTCCACCTAGTAAACAGAGCAAATTTAAATACCTGCTCAAGTGTCAAAATCTTAGAATCTAATTTACATTTAAAAATTAACTTAAGGCTTCCAGTTAAGATGGTGGCATACCTACATGTGGTACTTGCATCTTCCCACAACCACATCAAAAATACAACTAAACTACAGAACAACCATCATTCAAAATGGCCTAAAATCTAACTGAATGGAAGTCCTACAACAAAAGATATAAAGAAGCCACATCAAGACTGGTAGGAGAGGTGAAGGCATGGAATGGGCTGGTCCCACACTTACATGCAGTGGATAAAAATTGGAAGGGATATCTCAGCTGCAGAGGGCCACCCTGATAGTGAGGGGTCCCAGTACCACACCAGGACTCCCTGCCCAGGATTCCAGTGCCAGGAAGAGAACTCCTTATAACTTCAGGCTGTAAAAACCTGAGGGGATTGTGGTTGAGTGAAATGGGGGGCTTCTGGAGTCTCAGGCAGTTCCTCTTAAAGGGCTCACACATAAACTTACTCAGACTCACCTCCTCTGAGTTCCAGTGCTGGGGCAGCTGCTCACAAAGGTACCAGGGACATAGGGAGAAACTGAAATGTCTAGCATCAGGGTGAGAAGCAGAAGGGCAACCTTCTCTTGGAAGAAATGCTGGCAGAGGCTATTGTTCCTTTTCTGAATCCTTCTCCCACAGAGTCAGCAGGCAGGTGCCATATCTGAGTCTCTATCAACATGGCTATAACAGCTCACCCTCGCCCTGGTGATTTCCCTGGCCTACCAACTTGTGGGCCCACCCAAGCTGTTTTCAGTGACTTTTCCACATGAATGGCCAGTCTTGGCTCATGCTTAAGATTTCCCTAAAATCTCTCAAACAAGTAGCATCTAGCCTTAGCACACCCTATACCTTCTGCTAAGTGGCCCCAGGCCCAGCACTAGGAGCAGCCAGTTTTGCATCACAGGTTGGCATCTCCTGAGCACATCCAAGCCCTGCACAAGTAGCAGCCATCTGAAGGTTGTTTTGTAGTTCTTGTGGGGTGGCCCCAGGCTGAATATAGGCTGTGGCTGACATTGGTCTATATCTCATGGGAGGCACCAGACCCAGCGGATAGCTTCAGATCACATCAAAACACCACCCAACCACCTCCACAAGTGATACGCTTAAGGGGCAGACTCAGCGGGCACAAGAACCCCACTGAAGTCCTGCTCCATGGTGTGGGCCTCTGAACTGCTGATCCTCCACAGCTGATTGACTTGGGGAGATAAATCCCTCCCATTGACATGTCAACAGCAATCAAGGCTCAACTACAACAGGAGGGTGAAGTTGTACACAGTGAGGGGGACCTTGAGCACCTGGCTTGGGTGATCAGGAAGGCTGTGACACTGGACCCTACAGGACACTTACTACATTAGGCTACTCTATGAAGCCTGGGAGATATAGCAGTTCCACCTAATAGATAAAAACAAACACAGGGAGACTGCCAAAATGAGACAAACATGTCCCAAATTAAAGAATAAAACAAAACTCCAGGAAAGGCACTAAATAAAATGAAGACAAGCAAATTTACTATATGCAGAGTTCAAAACACTGATTATAAGGATGCTCAGTGATCTTAGTAAGAACCTCAACAGTATAAAAAAGAACTAGTCATAAATGAATGATACACTAACTGAAATGAAGAATAATTTACAGGGAAACAACAGGAGAGCAGATGAAGCTGAGAATCAAATTAGCGATTTGGAATACAAGGAAGCAAAAGCCACCCAATCAGAACAGAAAAAAAGAAAAAAAGAATCCAGAAGAATGAAGATAGTGTAAAAGTCCTCTGGGACACCTTTGAGCCTACCAACATTCTCATTGTGGGGGTACTGGAAGGAGAAGAGGGAGCAAGAAATTGAAAACCTTTTATA